GTTTCTCGCGCAAGTGAATTCCCGTCGAATCGAAAACTATAATTCCTTTTGAAATTTTTCATACGATCGTTTCATCAATAAATATCGACCATCGACGTTTCCAACAATCGTCGTTTCATTTATTCATGGCAAATTTATTTCTGCGTTTATTCGCGATCAAAATCCGAATGTAACATGATACTATAAATTATGTATACGTAATCAATATTTATTTTCACAGTTTTATGCAGAACAATCGTGTACGATTTTAATATCCGTTCCGCGAATAGCCAGGTAAATGTTTGGAATGGAAGCGTAATCGACACAGCGCGGCTCGATATAAACCGTATGAAGCAAGTTCTTGTTTTACAACCTTAAAATTGCGCCCGAGTACCGATCGAGCGAATTTTTTCCGACGGTACCTCGTACGTCGGATCGGATTGCTATCCGAAAAGAGGGATTACGCAATCGAGGAAATCGCGGGGGAGCTACGGGCATTGTTGTTCCGCCGTTTTCGATCAGCCCGGCCGGGCCGCTGCCAATTAAATCTGCCGACCGGATTGTAACGCGATAGAGAAATTGAATTTTCGACGAAACCAATAAAAGCGTCGCCGCCCTCGCTAATCGGCTCCGAGCGTACGCTTCCGGCCAGGCGACCAGCTAAAGAGTGATTTGACCCCGATTCAAGCGCGATTAACGATACCTGCCCCTCGCGTGATATCACGATGACAGCCGGACGGGTTAACAGCTCGGATTAATCGCGTAGAAAGTCGATTTCCACCATTCGCTCCTCGCGTTTCAACGCCCCACAAAGACAAAGCAAATTCGTTTCGATAGATTCATTATCAACAGTAGTTTTCACGTTCACAGACTTATGGTTACGATCCTAAGTTGCCGAAAATTAATTACTATGTTCGAAATGCGTTTTATGGTTGAATTTTTAATACCAGACATCGAATATTATATTGAAATCTTCAATACATTAATTTTATGTAAAAGTAGTACAGATTTAATTCTGTTCAGACGCCGGGGAGACTGTAGATAAAAATGGACAGTCTAATGGAAAACATAAAACGAGCCCCAGTAGGAATATCGAAGTTACGCTCGGTAGGAAATTAGGGTGAATTTTTAACGACCACCGAGGCCCATAAATTCCAGTCCGTCGAATGATAGATGCACGAGGAGAGGGGTGGCCTCTTACTTTCGCGATAATACCAGGCATAAAGGTAGTAATTACTTCAGGACTAATTACTTCGGCAAGTAACTTGTTTCGTAATACCATACTGTTCCATAAACAGGGTATAGGTGCCGGGCTTAAAATTTCCCGCTGCGTTCGTTATTAACGGGTGCTAATTAATTACGATCATTACGCCAGAAATCTTCGAGTGGAAAGACAAGCTTGGTAATTAGGTGAATAAGCAAGATGTGCACTCTTTAGTTTTCATAAAATTTGCATATTCCGATGTGAACGATTTTGCATTTCGCAGCAGAAGGAATTAGGGAAGAGAATTATAATAAATCTGTTTATGAAAATCTGCGATTTAAAAATCGATAGTATCTCGATCGATAATTTTTGTATTATGATAGTCGTAAGGAGGGATAGAACTTACCACTGCCGGGTATGTACAGGTTCAGATAGAGGCAGTCCTCGCTTTGGTTGGTCAGGAACATGTAGAGCCGCTTCAGTTGTTGGTATCTGCCCAGAGGCATTTGCAACAAAGCAGCTGTGTCATTGCTGATGTCTGGGAAGTGCTGCGGGCAAACCGCGCCGAACGAATCCGCTAGTTTGATGCCGTCCCAGGGGATCGGCGAGATCGGTGGCCGGAAACGTAAATCTCCTACGGGAGGCGCAGCGTATGGGATACCGCGGAACACTTCCACCGGGTCCAAGTGTCTGCTGTTCAAATCCTAGAAAAAGTGACACACCGGGTATACCCGAGTTTATCGTCTTCGATTTTCGCATGTAGTTTACGTCAGACAGAAAGTCTCCTCAAAATCTTACTGTATCTCCTTTAAATTAAATTAACAATTTTTTTTACATAAAAAGTGCATTCGAAGGAAATCTTTATTTTTAAAATATATAAAAAAATCGACAGGATATCGAAAATTCAATTCGCATTGCTTAAACGATA